GAAATTATAGGGAAATATCACAGAAATGGGGGGAAATTAAAGGGAAATGTGTAAGGTAATGTAGGGAAATTAATGGGAAATATATCAGGAAATGGAGAGAAATTAATGGGAAATATATCAGGAAATGGAGGGAAATTAATGAGAAATATACCAGGAAATAGAGGGAAACTAAAGGGAAATGGGGGGGCGGAGTTAAAGGGAAATGTGCAAGAAAATGAAGGGAAGTTAATGGGAAATGTGTCACGAAATGAAGGGAAATTATAATAGGAATAGGAAGTAGTAATATCGGAAAAATATATCTTTTAAATGTTAAGGTCAATTAAATCAAATTGAGATAAATATAATTAAATATAAATATATAATAGAATGACTTATGGCTTAAACAATGGTAGGTTACAAACATACTTCAAAGTTTTCAGAAATACTAATGATATATTTGCATGTATTGTGTTCATTCATTAGTCGCTATCCTTGGATTCTGCATCACTGGAAGGTGGAGTACTTTCAATAAGTTCTTCATCACTGCCTTCATCAGACTCGCTTTTCTTTTGTTTCTTGGATACTTTCTCATCATCGTCCTAAAAAACAATTTAATTTGCAATTATTAACAAACATCACATAGCAAATAGCAATGTTTCTATTGAAAGCATACTTGTAATTAATAAAAAAAAGCAAATAGCAATGTTTCTATTGAAAACATACTTGTGATTAATAAAACCTGTACAGGTCATATTACTTTTAACAAAAATGTAATTAATCCTAGAATTTAAGATAATGAAATTATTACCGCATTTCGTTTATCTCCTTTCTTCTTTTTCTTATCATCTTCACTGTCTTCATCGGAATGTTTTTTCTCTGATTTCTGTAATAATATATAATTAGCAAAAAAAGCAATAAAGATTAATTTGGTTAAAAAAGTAAGATAATAAAATTATTACCGCACTACGTTTATTTCCCTTTTTCTTTTCTTTCTCTTCTTCACTGTCTTCCTCAGAATGTTTCTTATCTGATTTCTGTACAAATATTTAATACGTCCAGTTAAATTCGTATTATAAAAATGAAAAATGTTACGCTATTATTGGTATTATCATACCTTAGTACCTCCCTCTCCATCACTGCTGCTGTCATCTTCACTAATATATTCTTTACTCTTAAAAGAACCTACAAGTTTGTTAGGAGACTCTTTCTTCGCATCCTTCTTCTTTTTCTCTCCCTTCTCTTTCTTATCTAGCTTCTCTTTTTTGTCCTTTGTCTGAGCAGCAGCACCACCACCACCACTGGCTTTATACTCACTCATCGAAGCAGCATATTCTTTCTTCGCCTTTGCTGCTTTCTCCTCCCATTCCTAAATAATATTTAGATATATAATTAAAATGTAACAGTAAACAAAAGATAAAAGACATATTCGTACACCCTTACAGATTTGTCTTTGAGCTCCCTCCACATTTCTCCTCCTTTCTTGGCGATCTCTGTAACTGCAATTCCAGGATTATCCGCTTTAATTTTCTCTCGAGTACTATTCAACCATATCATAAACGCAGTTGGTGGCCTCTTAGGTTTGTTTTCATCTCTTTCTTTCTTTTGCTTTCTAGATCTTCTCGGCTTCTCTGACTAAAAAAAATGATGTGTTTTATCATCCCTTTAAGCAATTTTGCGATATCATTGGCACTAACTAAATGTGACTCTAACCCATTTTTACAAATCGTATTAATGCTTACCACTGTCTTTGCGGATTTCGATTTCCTTTCCTTTTTATCTTTTTTGTCTTTCTTTTGGCTCTTGCCGGAAGCATCAGAATCATTTTCGCTTTCTGAAGTGTTTGGATTACTGTCATACTCCTCTGCTACGTCACTTTCATCCTAAACGAACCCAATTTTTAAATGAAACGAAAGGAGAAAAATTTGTTTAATAATCTGTGTCACTCAATATCTTGAATTCAGATATACTCATACTTGATTAGGATTGAAATCTTCATCGGTAGATTCTTCTTCGGAATCCTGATTTTCTTCGGCAGCTCGTTCTTGTGCTTCGGCTTTAACTCTCGCCAAATAAGCATCTGGTTCATCTTCTTGGTCACTGTCCCCGAAGTCGTTATCGTAACTCAATTTATCCTATTGAATATATATATATAAAAAAACAATTTTTATCTACGATTGGTAACAATAATAAAATAAAAATATGAAAATAGACGATCGCTGTACTTACGCTCTTGCCTCTATTTTTAACACGGAGTTTCTTCGACGTGATAAAATCAAACAGTTTTCCATATTCTTCTTTCTCGATGCTACTGAACGTGTGAACCACGCCACTGGTCAATTCAATTTCAAAGTCGAATGACCTGGTTGAGCCTCCGCCGCGTGCAAAGTTTACAGACGCTATCTCTTCGAAACGTATGTGAATCGGAGGTTTATGAACATAAATGAAGCCTCTATCCAGAGGATACAAGCAACCTGCAGCTGCTTTAAAGGAACAACTAATCGCAAGAGCTCCAGAATGACTGAAAATGAAGAAAAATTAAATGTAGCAAATTAAAACATCCTTAATATATCATTTATAAATAAATTCACCTCATGAAATTTCCAGGTCCAGTAATTTTTCTGTTGATTATAACTTTCATTACTTTTCCTAACACCTCGTAAGTCGGTCCTGATAACTCTTTCGGTAATTTGTCCTCATACTTCTCTTTTAATTCTTTTCTGTACGAACAAATGCTTACGTTACAATCTTATATTTAAACTCTATCAATCTTTACGATATTAAACTATAATTTACATACTCGGAAAAAGGTAATTCGATAGAAGTTTCTTCTTCTTGGCTGAATAACAACACCAAGTAATGATAACGAGTTTGACCCTGTTTAATAGGTGGATCTAAACTGACCTGGAAAGATAATAATGATAAGAAAATAATGTAAGAATTATAGTTATAATTTATAGTCATAAGAAACTTACCACAAAATACATTTGCCTGCTATCCTTGTGCGGTAGAAGGAAAAGCCTCAAAACCGTTGACATCGGAATTTTGTAATCGAAAGTTTTACCGTGCAATTGAAAGAACGACTGAAATATTTTTATATCATAACGACCACTGAAATAAAGAAAATTTAATTGTGTTAGAAACTATTTATATCAAACTTTTAAAATCATACCTATCTAAATGTACAGGCTAGATATAAACACGTACCGAGGTGTGAGACATTGAATTTCTCGAAATATGGCAATGGCATCTCCGCTGACGCTAATAACAGAAGCTTTCTCCATGACTTGCTGATGAAATGCTTCTACAGGATCTTGGTCAACGCTATCGCTAATCGGTATATGAAATCTCATCTCCATTAAACTTACAGGAGCATCGTCGTTCTAGAAAAATTTATTATACAGTGATTAATGTTAGCAATTGATATAATAAGTGTAACTTTTTACTATTCACCTGATGAAATTCCAGTGTAACTTCGTTCTTTCCAGTATTGCATTGAGAAACATCATAAAGAGGAATTTCAAAGGCAGTATGATGACCGACATCAAAACTCAAAACAGAACCATTAAACCTTGCTGTACCCCAATTCCAACCTTTTAAACTGAGTTCTTTTTCCAACATATCCTTTTTGTAATTTTGCGCAAAGAACTTTGCAATTTTTTCTTGATCCTGTACAAAAAATATTTAACTATAATCTAAATTGTAGAGTACCTTGCAATTAATTTAAACGTTTTTACATTGATTATATGTTTATATAATTTGTATAATTATATTATACATAATTTCTACATTGTGTTGAAATTTCATTAATTTAACAGTTCTTACTTACCGTATCCTTAAAACCACGAAACCTATGTAACGTTCCATTTTTAAGAAATATTCGTAGACCCCAGGTACCAATGAATTTCTGATAATTTACCATTTCCATATCGGACGCCGAAATTTGTTCTACTTTGCCTGTCTTTTGATTCTTGAAGATTAGATGTTGATCGGTTAATTTCAGTCGTCCAGGAGTCTGCATACAAGCAAAGTTTGAGTTAATTTAATTATATATAAAAGAGTATTCGATCGAATTAAAATTTTTTCAAAGGTTACCATAAATTCTATGCACATCAAATTGAAATTTAATCGAAATAAATGATTAGTATTACGAATTGTAATAAATATAGAAAAATAATGAACAAAAGCAAACGAAATTCTAACCTCAAACATTTGGAAAAGAAGCTATGTAAATAATAATAGCAATAGAATGAAATTAAAAGAACGTACGATTAATATTTACAATGCAAGTAGGAAAATTAATTATTAAAATTTGCGAATAAGATATTATTTACCATAGTTCCTTTGACTTCTGCAATTACATCGGGGTATTCCAAGAAATCCATCTTTGAGTTTGAATTCACTTTAAAATAATTTTCTTGTTATATTACTTTACTATTTACGGACTAAACGCCCAGTTTCTTTAGAGTTGATGTTCTTTTTCAAAATGAAAGAAAAGTTAGAAGAAATCAACGGAGAAAATTGTTGCGTGCTTACAGCCCGCCAACATCAATTCAGCCACATTTGGCGGCTAGGCGGACTAGGTTTATTCGGGTTTATTCCTTTCAAACTTTCAGACGCGAGGTTTTACTTCGCGCATGCGCATAGTATTAAGAACGCTAACGTCAGTGGCGTATCTAATGGCACTCTGAAACTGGCGCTCTTGTGGCCCCAAAGTAAAATAGAAATACAGGGTGTCCCACAACACCTTGAAAGGGGTGGTTCGGGAGGTGATTTGAAACAACTTTTTCCTTAGCGAAAATATTGTCCGAGGCTTCGTTGAGGAAATATTAAGAGAAAATCTTGACCAATCAGAGCGCGCCGTATACCGTTAGAGCGGCCGCGGTAGTGAAGGCTACGAGCTAAGCGGCCGCGCTTGTACGCGAACAAGTGACTCAACGTGCATCGAAGGACCCTTGACGCGGCCGCTTAGCTCGTAGCCTCCAACGGTATCCGCGCGCTCTGATTGGTCAGTGTTTTCTGTTAATATCTCCTCAACGAAGCCTCGGACAACATTTTCGCTAAGGAAAAAGTTGTTTCAAATCACCTCCCGAACCACACTTTTCAAGGTGTTACAACATTTTTGGGACACCCTGTAGTTTCTTTAAAGAATCAATAGAAATGTATAAAGATATAAAGTAGAAGTATAATTCTCCCATGGACATTGAAACTTGGTTATTATCTCTTGATCAATATAAATGAAACGAATTGCGATCGTTTCAAATATATAATAACAACCGCTTGATTGACACCATTTAAAACATATTAGGAGAAGAGGGGGTACCGTTTCTCTCTCTTTTTCTCTCCTTAAACTCTCTCGCTTTTAAAGGCTACTGCGATTGGCGCGTAGGCCAACGTAGCCTGTGACGTAAGACGTGAGTGAACAACGGTTCTACTAACGAACCGTGTCGAGTTCTCGTTTTATCACTCGGTATATTCGGTGAAACTGAAATACCTCGAGGATCATGCTAGTCATATCGAGATATTGAGCTTCCTTCGTCATACTAATCCTCGCTTTCGATGCAAACACCTGCTTACGGTCAAAGAAACATCGCGAGCGACTACTCTCTAGTTTCGATCGGTGAGTATGTCTTCTGCTGAATTTCCGGTTGACTGTCATTCCAAAATATTAATCAACTGTCTCACGAGAAATTCGTTTGCCGACGTTATTAGTCAATAACAATTCATGCCTTATCAGACGCTTTTATCATTTAAATTCCCTATTTGAGCATTATCGATAGAATCTTTTTGATACAATTATCTTACGATTAAATCGAATAATTATGGAGTTTTAAGAATAGAAGTTATTTGTAATTAAAAAACTCTTAGTGGCTTGTCGATGAAGAGCAATTGTCAAATATTGAGACACGTCAAGCTCCTTTTTCTCACGTTCCTTTACCTAACCTTACAAACACACAATCCTGAATGATCTTTGTCTAACCTATTTCATTAGTCACTATGTACTAGCATATTTAACAATTTAGAAATTTAGCGATTTTCCTTTGTGTAACATCGTTGTCAACATTTTTTCCTCCACTTGCTATTTGATTACTTTGCCATGAAGCTATCGATTTACATGTTTCGTTACTTTGTTCGTACGTTCCTTTAAATTAGTTTAAATACTCCATTCTTTTATCACTTATCAATATTTGCACAAGTATCAACTCTATATATATTTATTTTTATATTTTCCCTACGATGTTTCTTAAACATAATTTCGCTCTGGGCTAGAAATGTATTTCGTAAATTTTCGAAACTCTATAGAAATATATTCTCTGTAGTTTAATCGAAATGTTTTTACAATCGCCAGTAATGTTTACAGCCTGAAAAAGATAACTGCATCGCGCATATCTCGTTGCGTGCACTTTAATTCGTCGTTACGTAATGTTTCCGCAATATTTTTTTTCATTATACATGGAAAACTTTCATTTCGCTCGTTATATATTTCAACGTTTTCTGCGCATTCGTCAAATATAATAATTATCGTTTGATTATTCAATTTTGTAATCGACTAATCGATTTCGTTTGTACTTATGCACGTGGTATCTCCATTCTTTGTATTTTTGTATTCTTGGTATATTTTTTTGTTTCTTGATACGTAGAATTTTATTTGCGTTCAATGACTCGTTGGGAACAAAACTGGTTTTTAAACGAGCTCGTCGAGATTAGAGACCCCCTCTTACGAGAGATCGATCGATATCTGTGCCGAAATTCCTGGTACTCCAATCCTTCGTGGTCCTACGTCGGAAATGTACTGAAATCAGAAAAAAGAGTACAATAAATTTTAGAGTTTCCTTTTTCGATGGAAAATAATTAATTTTATAACTTTCACAACCGAATTATTCGAACGAGGCGATATAAATGGAAATCGATGCTCGCTAAGTTCCTTGTTTATTATACCGACCCTAAAGCAATTTAAAACAAATGCTCACCTAAATTTGTAGATAGCATTTATTTTACTCGAATCCAATAGCTAGAGCGTATTTTACATTAAAATTTTTCATTTTGAGAATTGTTACAACATTTTTTATCTGTAATTGTAAACGATAATATCTATGCTAGAAACTGTGAAAACGAAGTACGTTAGCGTATAATTTAATTATCACGTTTTATGCTTACCGTCCCAAATGGGAAAAAAAACATTCTAGTTTCCAGGAAAACTCACTTGTTAACGTACTCGCGACGAGTTTCTAAAACAGTAATGTGTATTGATGTTCCATGATGAATTTCATGATCTTTTAATCCTATTATTGCATAAAACAATTGAATGGGAATATAATAAAAACGATGCTTGTTGCATTTGCTCAATGAGTTTTAGATCTAATTGAAAAATAAAATTCAAAACACAAGAACTTAGAAAGAAACTAAAACTGTTACAAATATTGTACCATACATATATATGTATTGGAAAATGATTAATTGGCAGCTCAATGCATGCTAATAAATTAGCAATTGAGTGCATAATGTCTAATAAAGGAGTCGTCAGAATGAATAAGAGTCTAACAATGCAAGAATAAAGCATGGCAAATTCAATACAGCAAAAATATAGTAAATACAACAAAAATACAGCAAATTAATATAATAAATTGTGCAAAAATAATACATAATGCATGAAATGTATTTTAATATATAGCGACACATATTAATGAACATATTAGCATAAATTATATTTATAAATGGGATGCATTGTTTATCAAATGTGTGGACATAACAAAATGTAATTTCGTAACAGGAAGGAAGTCTTAAACTCCAGTTTCAATGGAAAAGAAGGACAGCCCGACAGCTTCGAATCAATTTAAGTAAGTAAAACATTTCTTAAATGTACATTCCCATCTAAAATAAAATCAAGAAAAAATCTTCTTAGTTAATTCATGCGAATTATCTTGTTTATAGACTTTTACCAAAAATTATAAATGGCGGAATCGCAGGTATTATCGGGGTCTCTGTCGTATTCCCACTGGACTTGGTTAAAACACGATTACAGAATCAAGTTATCGGGCCTAATGGTGAACGAATGTACAAATCTATGTGAGTATGTTATAAATATATCAGAAGTATAGCTAGTTCCTGGAATTGTTGACTTAAAGTAATCCTTAAGTTTTAAGAATTAACCTTTAGTAAACACGATATACTTTCAGGCTCGACTGTTTTATGAAAACTTACAAGGAAGAGGGCTATTTCGGCATGTACAAAGGGTCTGCTGTAAATATTCTTCTAATCACACCCGAGAAAGCGATTAAGCTCACTGCCAATGATACTTTTCGACATTACTTGTCTACCGGGCCTGGGTATGTTAATTTTTTGTACAACAAAAGAAATTTAGTTATTTTTGAAAGCATTGCAGCTAGCTTCATTCGGAACCTGGGGGCTACTGATATCAACACCGATATTATCGACATTGACACCAATATCAATGCCAACATCATTGCTGATACTGGTACCAACGCTGATTCTGATATCAAGACTGACTTTGCATCCTCAGATTCTTAATAAAGTTGGTTACAATGCTGACAATTAAGTTCTTTTTCAAATACTTTATGTATTTCAATATACCTTATTTCTGGTTGTTATTGAGTTCAATGTTGTGTAATTTTCAGACAGAAACTCCCAATAGAACGCGAGATGCTTGCTGGTGGCATGGCTGGAGCGTGTCAAATTGTTGTCACCACTCCGATGGAGTTACTCAAAATTCAAATGCAGGATGCTGGTCGAGTAGCGGCAGCAGCAAAGAAAGGTAATTATAATAAACGATTAAATCGCATATAATATATATTACACTGGAATTTGCAAGTATTGCGGAAAAAGGGAAATATTAATTTGAAAAACATTTCTTTTGCACATTAACGAGACTGTTAATGAATTGCAAACATGATTTTTGTAGAGAAATTTCATCTCGTTTACAGCTACGCGATACTCGATAGAATTAGGAAACGGAAGATTTAGTTGAGGATGGACGACAGCATATCAAATATAGATTGGTAAACGGTTTTAGAGCATTGCATTTTATTTCGAATGTAGAACTGTTCGTTTTCAACGCATTTTATGTCAAATCTTGATTTTTGGAACATTTTTAAAAACGTTACTCTTGAGAAAAGGAAGTTAATGTTATTTTTGTTCTAAACAATTTGTTCCTTCTTTATTTCTAATCAGGATGGAAAATTTTGTTTTGTGGACTTCCTTCTTTTCCTCGAAAAGTTGGCGATTTACTCATTCGAATTTTATTGGTTTTGGAAGATATGCATTTGCCCTTTACCTCTTCTTTTCTACTTTATAAGAACCGAGTTTTCCCTGATATGGAATTTAATTCTTTTTGTTTCGCCTAATCTTCTGGTGTGTGGTTTCTAAGGATTGAAGATCCTCCTTGTGTGTCATTCCGCTATATTTAACTAACCGATATGAAAATAAAAGTTGATCGTTTTTGTGATTTTCATAATATTAAGTAATTGTTTGTGGTAGTACAATATTTATATAGTTATCGATAAAACATCATGTAATTATCAAATTTGCAGTTTTGTAGTCTGTATACAAAATTAAGTTTCTCTGCCATTTGATAATGTATTTATAAGAAAACGTGGTATGGGAGATAAAGAAAAAAAACGAATCATGTTATTGCAGCTGGGAAAACTGTGACAAAGGTGTCTGCCCTGTCTCTAACGAAAGATCTCCTTCGAAATAGAGGTATTTTGGGACTTTACCAAGGCACTGGTGCGACAGCGCTTAGGGATGTCACGTTTTCCGTTATATACTTCCCGTTGTTTGCTAGACTGAATGACATTGGGCCGAAGAGGGAGGATGGATCTTGTAAGTCTGTTACGAATAAAAAGAATTCAGTAACGTATACAAAATTTAATGTTTCAACGCACACTATCTGAAAATATATCTTTATTTTCATGATCAGCTGTGTTTTGGTGTTCGTTTCTGGCTGGTTGTGCCGCTGGTTCCACAGCTGCGCTGATGGTCAATCCGTTCGATGTAATCAAAACTAGGTTGCAAATAATCAAGAAAGCTCCTGGTGAACCAACGTATAACGGCGTGTTTGACTGTATAAGGTACGTGGAAATTTATCAAGAATATATTCAACATTTGTGGATAACGGCAGAGGACTTACAACTTAATTTGTAAAAACAAAAATATGTGTCCCTTGCAGTAAAACGATGAGGAACGAAGGCCCTACGGCATTCTTCAAAGGCGGAGCGTGCAGAATGATCGTGATAGCACCCCTTTTCGGGATCGCACAAACCGTTTACTACCTCGGTGTCGCAGAGAGGCTTTTGGGCCATAAATGAACGTAGCCCTCTACTCTTTTCTGCCGTCTTGAATACTCTGGGATTAAACTGACAATAACTGGCGTTATTATAGATGTATTTTCGCTTAGTACGGTTCGCTAGTTGTCCAGTAAGTGAATTGTTCTTTTTTTTCTTATTATTATCATAGAACCTTGGCTATCGGAACTGAACAGTCTATTTCCAGACGATTTTTTACGAATTAATATTTTGAGCCTTCTTCCATAGATTCAAGTTTTTAAATGAATTTTTTTTATCGGTAATGTTTATTCTTCTTCCTTTTTTTTCCTTTGCTCTTCCAGATTTTTAGAAGATTTTATTGTGCCATAAATTGTGTAACATATACTTAACGATTACAGAGAACATCGAAAGCTTAATATTTAACGTGAATTTTATTAGCTAATGGAATTTATTAGCATTTAAATAGTGATACTATTTCAATTAAGTTCTTGATAGAATTAGTTAGGCTTTTCTTTCTCGTATCGTTATAATTGTAAGTCTTCGGATAATCAAGGTTCTTTCGTTCCATACCAGGGTCAGATCGACGCTAGTAATAATGACGTTGAATCTGACCCAATATTATAATAAAACGAAGATAAAGTCCATGATTTTCGATCACGTTCACTTACTTTCATTGTCAAACTGGTATCGTAAGTCATGGATTTTATTTGTCCCAACATGCTGCCTTTTACATGGATTAGCTTTTCTAGTACCAGTGTTTCCAGTTTCTTTACTACTTTTTTCCTTTTTTTTAAATTGTACATTGTAAAATTAAAAAGCTTTGCCAATTTGAAGAAACTATAATTTTCTTGTCGAATTAGTAAGCTTTTGATTAAAGCCTAAATGGTTGTTAACGTATTTTTATTTTAAGCTATAGTTAAGGAAAGTGAACATTCGAAAAGAAAACTACGAATTATTACATATCTAAATATAAATTAACGATGCGTATTCTATTAGAAATACTTTTTGGAACACTGGTATAGGACATCGTGATAACAGGAGCTTACATTTTGTAAGACTCTAGTTTCTTTTTTTTTCTGATACTAGTTCACTTAACTGTCAGGAATTATTATAACTGTAAGAATCAAACGATTCAGATTAACTCTTAATTGGTACGATAAATAACGAATGGCAAGAAGATATACTTGATCTATGTTAGGTTTGAGATTAGCGTAAATGAACAATTAATGCAATTCTCAGTTGTCGTTTTAATTGACAATGAGATTTAAGATACTATAAAAATACATTTTATTAACATAATTATTTATAAGATTACTTTAAACATACGAGAAGTATTGAAAAATCAAACATTTTGTTTTTTTTTTCTATTTGAAAATGATCTGTCTCCAGTATTATTAAATTTATATCGAGTTCGTCAAAAATGTTTATTATTTACGAAGAATTCTTTTAACACGTTGACCGCCAAACGAATATTCTTAAAAATTTCTGCTAAGATTAAATATTATTTAGACTACTGAAATCTATGTAATCAAACATTTATCGTGGTATTTATTTTTGTAACTACATCAAAATTCATGAATTTCATTTAAATTCATCTCCTTTGATGTCAACCTTTTAGAATTAATCTTTTTAGTCCTTGAGTGAAACCCATACATGGATGACATGGCAATCTACGTGTTAAAGTAGTTTGAACTTTTTCGAAGTATTTATCTAGTCAAAATATTACTGTTCAAGAATTAAAGTATGGTTCATGCAATTTTTAAAAATGTCATATCAGTTAAGAGTTAAACTGTTCTCCTTCCTTCTTTCCTGCCTAGAAAATATTGTGGAGAGATTTTAGGAATATTTCCTAACAGGGAATTCACTGTCAATTTTAGTCAAAGTTCTCCAAGAATGTAATAGAAATATTAATGTTATTAATGTATATTAACGTTATACAAAAGTAAATCTGCCCTATACAAATTTTGACTTATTCTTCAAAAATATTCCTACGGTATTTCTATGTGATAAATTGTCGAAAGAAATTTTTTGGAATTAGAGCTGAATATTTTCAGAAAGTTATTAATTTTATTTTTTTTAATCGACGTTTACATAGAAGAAAAGAGATAATTAATTTCAGTAGCGAAACTTTGAGTAAAAAATTTTATTCAACAATTGTTTCTGCAAAACTGTGTTATACGTTTCGTTTTTATTAAAATCATATATACAAAGTCAGAGTGGAAAAAAAATCGAAGGGATTCAATTTTCTACAACTTTATTGACCCTTCCTTAAATAGAAATTCTTTTTCAGAATTCCCATTCTTTATCGTTTTTAAATTTTATCACGGCACACGGATTTTTATACCTTTAAATGCTCGTCTCGAGTTAGTGTAGTGGATTTTTCCGTTTACTTTATTTGTCAGTATTAAACTATAAATCTTTGTGCACGTTAACTGCAATAATGAGGACAATTTGATTAATAAACATTCGTAGACAACATTTTCACCTATTGTAAATATGGCATTGGGTTGTCTGGAAAGTCCATGCCGATTTTTAGTAGACCAGGTCTGAATATATCGAAATGGTTGGAAACAAATAACATGTGGATATTCCTTAAAAGGTGGAAAAATTGTGGAACAAAATGGTACTTATATAATTCAATAAATATATGTATATATACAAATTGTATATATAAAACTTATATGTATATATAAAAATATACCTTTGAATTTTTCTTAAAAATTGCCACGAATTTTCTGGACAATCCAATAAATTTGTTTTAAAGAAGAAAATTTAATCTCACCTCGCGTTATAATGGTGCACAGGTTTGCGATAGAGTTCGAAAGCGCTTCCTCTTTGTTCTCTACTTCCAGCGAGATCTAGCCCACTCGGTTCTCTGTTGTGCCCCGGACTCGTTTGGAAACTTTGTGCAGAGACGTTATGACCGTTATTCACAACGTATCCGTTATGGCTTACATTGTTTCTGTTATGGGAGAGGCCAAGGCTCAACTGACTCGCGCTGTTGCTGTGACTATGAGCCGCTGATATCGGCGGAGTACAATGCGCATGCGTGTGACTCAGACTATGATTGTGCGCAGGCGTAGAAAGGTGGCTCAAGTTGTGATGGGAATTCCCGAGATTCGAATCGTGACGATTCGGTGGTGGAATATTATAGTAGTACTGACCACTATTCCGTTGAACGTTGTTATTACTTTCTACCTAAAAGAAACAACAGAAACAATTCACGTTTTTATCTTTGCCTATTTTTGTTTACTTTTGATATCTAATGTTATCCACAAGCAAAAAAAAAGCAGATCGCTTACATGAGATGTAGCAATGGAGTAACTCTTCGAGTGTTGATGAGTATTACTTCCATCGTTTCCATTATTCTCTTGTTGCGTCAAGTTAGTTTGCGGTGGTCTGTAATTTTTTGGTTTCGGAGGTGGTATGGGCTTGTATGATCCTCCAGGTTTGTTTTGGGGAAGTGTTATCGACTTGTAATCAGTTGTGCGGCTACAATGTATAAAGCAGAACATTCTAGCGTACAGGAGTACAACGGATGTTGGATAAATAATATCGAGAAACGTAAAATTTATGTCTCGGTATATAAAACATGCAAGCTATGTGATAAAATAAAGAAATGGAAGACGGTAAGAGCAATATAAGATAGTCGTTTAGGTTGATATAAATTACATAAAAGAAATCGAGGCTCTCAAGTTACAAAACAAGATTCTTCTTTAAGATTGTAAATGTGCCTAACTATAACGCACCAATTGTACATTTTATAATTTTTCGATAAGTGAGGTTCAGATAAATATTATTCGGCTAAAAAGAAAATGGAAAGTAGTATTGTTTCATGCGAAAGGGTGTACATGCACGTGTATACTAGGATGAAATAAAAGAAATTGGAATGGAACATTCAAACTAATGTATCACGACTAGATATATATATTCTACAAGCCCTTCTCAATGGTCGAGGTTTCCGCGCCATCGCTCTAAAGAAAGAGGAAGAAAAAGATTGACAAAGAAAATGATTAAATGTGTTTGTTAACATTTAAACTATCTTATGTTCGAAATTAGAAATTTTTCAAAAACGACGTTCAAAAGCACATTTTCAAATAAAAGATTCCTGTTATCGCATTCTAAATTAGATAACGATGTGTGGACGAATAAATCAAATTGCTTATTTGGTAATAAGAAAATACCTGTATTTGGCGTAATCGGTTCGCGTTTGTGAATCGTGACCTGGTATCGGTTGTGCTGTTGATCTGGTGAATCTGTAAGGATCGTGTGATCTCGTTGGCCCGCCACTGCTTTTCAAATCGTCGGGTACATTGGGACCCAATCGACCAGTCGACGTGTTCAGTCCTGGTGCCCCATAACTGGCATTTCCATTTGTATTATTGTAGGAATCGTAAGAGGACATACTATCGTAGCTTCCCTATGCATACATAAGATAAAATCATAGTAATAAAGATAATAAAATAATCGCGAAACGATGAATTCTAACCAGTAATTTCTAACCAATAATTTGAAACCAATTCTATCTTAATTTAATCTTAGTTTAAACATTAGAGAAATTTGTGAAAATTTATACCGCTTTTGGTTGAGTTCTTTCAAGCGACGACGTAGCGTTAGCTTTATGAGGCGTGGCGTTTATGTAATTCGCAACATCTAATACTGAATCGGTTTTATTGAGTAACCGTTCTTGAGCAGATCTACCGATTGTATTCCGTCCTGACTGATTGTTTGGCTTTGCATTCCGATCCACTCTGGGAGGCAAATCAGGAGGACTGTGGTGAGACGTTCTCGGTTCGAACGATCCACCGAGATACTCCGGTGAACCTGATTGATTACTGATTTGACCTGACAACGAGAATCCGTACTTTCCATCTCCCATTCCCCCTTGCGATCTTCTCTTTGGTTGCTCGAAGGATTGCTAAGGAAAGAGACAGACGTTACATAAAGTTCTTTGCGTGTGTTCTAGTTGGACGTACTGGAAACTCTATTTTTGAAAGTGAAAATCTTGAAACTTGGAACAGTTTTGAAAAAACAATGCGAACGAATATGGCATTATTCCAAGAGTTTATTAAAACACTTCCCAATTTTGTGTAGAAAATTAAGATTTCATTAATGAAATGTAACTATTGTTTGTGTGACAGTTGTGTGTTTACCTGATAAGTGGTCGAGTACGGTGGTGGTGCAGCAATGTCATCTTGCGTTGCGATACTTGGATCAGAGCTGCTTTTCAATCTAGACGGTGCACCCAGAGCACCTGGTAAAGCTGGTGCCGGACTGAGTTCCAAGTCACTCTCCGGGGAGGAAGCATAGGAGAGGCGAGAAGTCATCGGGAATAGGAAGTCATCCGAGAGTGCTTCTTCCGGCTATCATCGCAGGACATAGAGGACAACACGTTACAGAGGTTTATGCTCTGCTATCCCTTTCAGACCACTCGTCTTCTCGTTCATAATAACACATTTTGAAAAGTGTAATATATATACCACATATATTAAGAGCCCCTGCAGACTGCAGACTTTCTATCGGGTGATAGTTTGATTGGGTTCTTAATCAGCATGAAGATATACAGGGTGTTCAGGGTATTACTAACCAACATTTTTCTTGTAAATGGTACATATTCTAAATATAAAAGTGAAATTACTTGTTACCTGTGAGGTTTAGGGCTAATAAAGGTCAATACTTTTTTATTTAAAATTCAATACTCTACCATATTTTTGTATAAAAAATATACCATTCCATTTAAAAAACTGAAGGTCACCATCATTTCTCAGAAAAGAGTATAAATACGAAAGATTTGTCTACCTGGTTACGTTGCATACAAAAAACAGTATAAATTTTTCTTCTTTCATTTTTTTGTCATATGTACCATTTACGAGAAAAACGCTCGCTAGTAATAGCCTGAACACCCTGTATGTAAATGCGGATACTACAATGATTCGATATCAGCCAATAAATAAGTTTGATGGGCTAGACTGTTAATCAGTATGGCGGGTTGTAGCCGCGCGCACACATACCGATTGTTTTCAATTGTTTTCTTGCCGACAGAAAGTCTGCAGTCTGCGGAAAGGCTAACTTGTATTTCCTCTTGTCTGGCCACGACGTCTCTTCTAAAAGTTAGTTGAAAATGTGTTAGAACAAGTTAATGTAATAGTCTAACCGAAACAGGAGTGTCTGAAAGGGTTAACACCTTACAGACCGGTTCTGCGTTAGCATGGGATTCGGGCTAAGCGCGTACAATTTTCTATCGACAGACAGTTTGGTTGACGTGATAGAAGCAGAAATGGATGCTGTGAATAAATAAACTGTACAATATTTTCCATACATCGAGGCATGCACATACAATATTGGGAGTACTTATTGTATCATTCACATATCCATTCGGTGTTCACAGTTATCATGGCTGGTATGATTAGTAAATTGATCGATACTGTACATAGTTCCATATGAATATGGACCAGGCCTTTGTATGAATATACTAAATCCTGCACTAGCGCAGAAACGATCCATAGGATTATAGATCAATATAGAAAACGAATACTTGCCATTCGATTATGTTAATTCTTAAAATTCGGTTAAGATGTATTTCGAAGATTGATTAATACAATGTAATAGTATTTTTATATTACTTTAATTACTTTCTATTTTTGTATGACGAAATCGAAACTTTGCATGTAAACATTAAGACATACCGACAAACATTCTGTTAAGCTAGTAAGATGCATGATAAATGCATAAACGAACGCCTAGAAAATTAATTTAATTATGATAATAAGTTTTACAGATCGTGTATTATCTATTATAATGATACATCTTATCTTATATATACTACGCGTAGTTTGGAATATATTTTTTTATAAATGTATTGAATAATTAAAAGAAATTGATTCGATATTTTTGGAAGTAACATATTCGTAGATTATCCACTCAGTTCCATCAATACATGAGATGAAAAATTGTTAAATATGCGTTAATCATTTTTTAATGAAATTATGGATTAGACTTGTTTCCTCCTCGTGATTCCCCCGTCCAATATGTTCCTAAAAACGCTCTTTGCTACTTTCTTTGACCGACTTTTGAATATTTATAACATACATTGTGCAATAACTTCATTTTAACTAATGATTTACGATGATACACGATAAAGCTATGAAATGTAGCCATGCAACTGAATTTAATACAAAACGCAAGGTGTCTCGAATATCTTGAAACGTAGCAATGCTTGATCAATAAAAAGAAAAAAAAAAACTTGCATTTCATAAATCATCGACGAATTGAATCTCTGAATCGAACTTGTCAATAGTTATTCCGACTAAGATTACAATCGACTTAGAAACTAAACTGTAAAACAGTGAAATCTACTTAGGCGATTAAAAAAAAATGAAAAATCTTTGGTTCTACCAAAACGACGTAAAGATCTAGCTAACGATAAGATACGATCCGGTTATGGGGAGTTGACAATCAAGACACCTGACTAGGAAAAGCGGGATTCAAATGTAGCCGAAAAATTGCTCACGGACAACCTCAGAAGCTAAAGACGGATAAGAAGGTAATGAAAACAATTTGTCCGCGCGATATGTATCGTTTTCGTTCACGTCGTGAAACACAGTTTCCCTTGATAACGGGGGTACGGGAGGGGGAGGTAAATCACGAGGGTCACCGGACGATTGACATAGCTCCCATGTCATTTGTCGACCATATGGCTATAATAAATTATTACAAAACAATTTCATCAGCGTAATCCCGTTAGCTTTCGACCGAACGGAATTTTCAATATTACCGCGATATCGGGTTAACATCCCCAAGATTTATACTTTTTATAGGAATCTCGTATAATATAATATAAAATATGAATATAAAATTATTGCATCAACTCTCGATTACTTAAGTTAGCATCAGCGATGATATTGAGACGTGTTTTAATACCCATCGACGCTGATGAGTACGTTAATTAATCCCAACGTTATGTGTGGAATTACAAATATTTTGGAAGATATTGAAATATATTGTTACCTTGGTTTGGCTCATCCACAGTAATCCCTGTTGTTGTCGATCGATCAGTTCCCTCAATTTCCGGTACCAGGCTTCAGGCGTGGTCAACGTGATCACCGCGCTAAAAATATGGCCCCAAATTTTGTCCAGCTTCTGGCATTGCTCCAAAAGTTTTTTACTGCTCTTGTGTGCCGATCTGTGACAAATGCAACATACTTCGTTTACAAAAATTCAAAGATATATATATATATATTCCCGCATGATTGAACTTACTTAGGAATTCCTGCTCGCATCTCCTTGATAATTTGCTTCGTTTCGGCTTTCAAAAAGATAACTATGGGATAAAACTGCGCGTAATTCAATCGATCTACCGCGTTAGGAGTGATATCCAGTAATGCGTGCTTCCCTCGATCCATCACTTCCCGAATGGCACTCAGTCGGATAATACCGGACGATTTCGTGTTCTTTCCAACACTGTCGTCCAATTGGTTTTCCATCTCTATAAAGAAAATAGTTTCTTCAGAACGTTTAAAATTAATTTTAACGCGAATTAAAACTCCTAATCGTAATTTCACTTACGCGGAGACGTGAATTTATCAGGAAAGTCCTTTAAAAGTTTTTCCCTGGCTAGGTCTGCTACTGGTCCGAAAAGAACGACGGGTCTAACGAAGCCTGGATGCCTCAGAATGACTCTTTCGTAGGCAGGAAATTTGCTAACGCTGTCGGAAAACACTACGTCGTCCCAGTGATCCTAACAAGCAGAAATTAACATTAGTTTTATTGCTTCATCCGAGCAAGTTGATCTCGTAATTATTGTTACGTGTTAGTAGTCGCTTATTGTTAACAAAAAGGGACAAAGTGAACGTACTCTTCCAAGAGATTTCGAACGTCTATGGCTGCTTCTCCTTCTCCTAAAAAAGCTACCTCTGCTTTCACTAGCGCTCTGTTCCTTCTTCGTCGCATTGAATTGAGCGGTTGCTAGTTCCTCGGCTCGAGCTTTATTCGGAATAATTCCTTTCTGTACTTCCTGATTGTTTCTGCCGATACGGAAGACTTGCCACGAACCGACAACTCCATTGTGCAGCGTGTCCACTACGTGAAATACGTCTCCGCTGCGGAAACTCATTTCACTTTTCTGCGGTTGCTCGTAATGGAAGTGAGTCCTGGAATGTTTCAGTGAAATCACTTATTAATCTGGCCTACGATTATCAATTCTTTAAAAATGAATTTCTTTAATTAAATACCGATGCAACTATGAATTAACACGTACTTTATGTGAAAGGAATCACCCTTGCCAGAAGCTACTACTTGATCGTACTCTTGTCGTCGATGCTGAACGATTAAATCGATTTGTTCTTGCAAGCTAAGCAAGAAAAGAACGGCTTCTTCTCTCGTTACCCCTTTCATATCCATATCGTTTATCTGAAGTTGTTACATATATTTAATTAGTATCAGAATTCTTCTTTATTTTAAATGCGATTTAGAACGCTGAGCCTGTACCTTGAGTATTTTATCACCAGGTTGCAAGCCCTGAAGGGATGCCGGACTCCCTGCTTGAACAGCAGTCACGAAAACACCCGTTTCGTTTCCACCGCTTAAGCGAACACCTACCGATCCTTCTTTTTGAAATGTTATAAATCGAGGATCTGGCCTGGAAAAATTCAAGTATCCAATAAATGTTAATTCCATATTCTCAATATCTATTCCATTTTATAATGGTTTCTTTTACGAATCGAGTTAACATTAGTCTCCGCCGATACTAGGAATAATTTATGAAGAATATTTAGAATCATATTTAGTCAAATTAATCTATCAATCTATTACTCGGCTCAATTGGATAGTAATCCAATCTTTAAAGAATCTAACTCACATTGGAAGTTTATTCCGAGATAAATCCTCGTCGTAGAGTTGTCTCCTTGTGCTATAATAATCTGGAACAAAGTCGTATACTTAATTTCAATGTCTCCTCGATATTTGAAATTACATCAAGTAAGTATAGACAGAAATCGTGTACCTTCTGGTCTAGGAGGTGGTGGTCTTGGAGGGTCAACGGTAGGTGTCGCGGGGAGATCTAACTGACTAAGAGAGACGTCCATCAAAGGTCCTCTGGTACGGCCTCTAGGAACAAGATTACTCTTGTCCTCGATAGGCTGCCTCGTCGGGGGCGGAACGTACAAATTCTGGCTACTGTAACTCGTCGTTCCAGAGAGATACTCCCCGGTTTCGCTCTTTACTTGCTGTTGAGCGTGACAACAGGAATTATCGCGGGTTACCACAATCGATAATCTGTCTTTGCACTGGTCCATCAATTTCTTGGCTTCCTTCAGACTCATATTATCCGTGGCTACGCTGCCTATTCGGGTCAACACGTCCCCTGGTTTTACTCCCGTGTTCTCGCGAGTTACTTCCTTCACGTAGAGACGACAGCCGAGAACGATTCCGAAATCTGGCAAAGAATTAACAAGTCTCGATGAACCTCTGCTACAGTGGATTGGAATTAAAGTTAAACGCGTATTCTAAATATCGATAATGGAAGAACGTGGAGTTTACCATCTTTTTTATTGTTTCTCGTCAGAGTCAGTCGATGACTCTGAAGGGTAGGGTTTCCTAGAATGCCAGAAGAATTCGACGCAGCTCTACGCTTGACGACCAACAGAACCGTTGACCCGGAATCCCTGAGGACACGGATCGCGGCTCCATAATCGGCGCCCTCCAACGATATTCCATTCGCGGATATTATCCGATCGTTCACTCTGAAAAGTGACAGTACGTTTAAATGATAACTTTCCAAACGAGGTAACCCTCTCGATAAAATTATTTCTCAGTCGTTAAACTCTTATACAGCGGGTGTATTAATGTAGAATGTATTCGTACACCGATCAATTTCCCAGAAAACTTTTGTGTGAAATTGTAGTTCTCTTAACTTCTTTTTTTATAATCAATAATATTTTACATATTCTCAGAAATCTCTACGATAGATATACAGTCAGTGTAATAAGTATTCGTACAGGAACTATTTATTTTAAATGGGTTGCTGTACGAATACTTCTTACATTGACTGTAGTCCAAATAACATTTACTATATAGGAACCTATATAGGAATTTATTTTATTCTGCAAATATTATAACATGAACTTTACTTTCAATTTCTGTTATATTTTTTACATATTGTTTGCATTTTGTAGGTTCTTGCACATTCGAATTTTCTATAAATGCATAAAGATCTGCAGTCTACTTATGACGAACCATTTAGAGTAGAGTTTGTAACGTAAACAATTAGCTTATTGCGTCATACGAATTAGAAAACATCAAATTTCCAGTAAAGTTCTTTTACAAAAGGCTCTAATAGAGGAATGGAAGAAGATCCCATTTTGAATAACTAATAATTTAGTTAATTTAATGCTGAGACAATTTTACATAGTTTTTTTGGAAATTGATCAATGTACGAATACTATCTATACCCACTGTATATACTCTTCCACGAAAGTATTCCAACTTTTATACTTGGAACGATTAATATTTCAATTAATTAAATACCAAACCGAATGAATTGTAACAATATATGTATACCAAGGAGGATGACTCAAGATTGCATACATGAGATTATATAAACATAAATATTTGATTAACTAAACGTTCCAAATGTATAAATCCGAATACTTTTGTGGCTGAACCTTGTTTTCTTACTGTAATTTTCCTTCGGCAGGTCCAGCCTTCAAGACATCAGAAATGGCAATAGCAGGATCGCCATTGGTGAAATGGGGATTGTCCCTGCCACCGGAAACAGCGATCCCGAATCCATAACCAGGAACTCTGGTAACCGTGACATGATGGACCTCCCATCCTCTATCTCCATTCTGGAAAAAGTGATTGTTGCAAATGAAATTTACTTTTAAAAGAATGAAACAACTCGAAACGTAATTTACATATTAAATAATTCTATCTTTTATAACGATTTCTTTTTCTGAAAAACTTTCTACTTTTAGACAATAAATATAAAATGTAATTTTACCGTGTATAGTAAGTAAACCAATACTTGATCAATACATATTAAATAATGCTATCTTTTATAACAATTTCTTTTTCTGAAAAACTTTCTACTATTCAACAATAAATATAAAATGTAATTTTACCATGTATAGTAAGTAAATCAATACTTGAATTAACTTTTGATAAAAAGATTAATCCTTGATCCTTATTCGATAAATGAAAGATCTAAGTTTCATTTAGATAGTCTTGTAATGAATCACGGGCGTCTAGATGCATTTTCTTACTTTCCTGTCGCGAAGAATCTAGTTCTCGGCGAACTGGCGGAAGGAATTCGAGAAAACGAGCGGAACAAGTAATTGGATGAAAATTCTAGGGATTCTCGTTAAAAGGATTCTTCTTCTGCTTACCAGATACATAACTCGATCCGATGCGGGATTATATTTTATTTTATAATTCGTATAAAATTTTCTAAATATCTCAAATTCATATTAATCACCACTACTGATTTTCATGCGCAATTTACGTTTTTATTTGACCGACTTCGAAAAGGAAGAGGTTACTCAATGTATACTCACACATGTATACAATGTATAAACATGTATATTATATATATAATATATATTGAGTAACTTCTTCCTTTATAAATGTATATATAAATAAATATATATATGTTTCGGTTACTCAATGTATACTTATACATGTATACAATGTATAGACATGTA